ATAGAATTTGGGGTCAGAATTGCATTGAATATATAGATTGCTTTGGGTAATATTACGTTTTCACAATATTCAGTCTTCCTATCCAAGGTCAGTTAATTCTCGTACAGCTATTTGAATAAAAGCCTTTATTAGCTTTTGCTAATTTGATTCTTTTAGAGTTAGACTCTGTCTTAAGAGATGAAAATGATAGTTTTCACAGAGTGGAAATACTTTGTTGATGACAACAGCAAAGCAAAGTAGTTAAAGATTCTGAACTATGGAGAAGTTATGCTGTAATGCTATCATTTCAGAGAGTACTTCTGACCTAACTAGAGAATAGACTCACTGGTAGTTACACATGAAATGGGATCTGGTGAGATCTCCAATCTGGCTTAAGAGTCTAGAGAGACTCAGATTTGATCAGTGAGTCTTGGTTTCCCAATATACTTCAGACATATTGCTTCAGTAGATGACTTCTTTGTAAGACTGGAAGATTCCTTTTGTCTCTAGTCTAATCATGAGTTGATATACATTTGCATACTGTCCAATTTTAGATCACTCTTTACTGAGTTCATAACATATTCTTTTGACTATAAGTGGTAGTAAGTAATGCTCTAATCATCATCACAATGAGAAGGAATATTTTACTGGAAAATAAAGACAAGAATCTTTATTGTACTGAAATCCTTAGTTAAAAGAAACTTTTGTGAATTCAAGTTAATTAGCCATTAGGTAACAATAGCTTTTAAAATGGTTACCCATACTCCCCTGTGTTTTATTTATTGATTTGTTAAATTTTGGTTTCTCAAAAGTGGGAAGAGTACAGTTATCTTTGTATTTCAGTATTTATTGGCAGTTCATCAGCAAAACTAAGAACTGATATATGCTATTAGGAAAGCTACCCATATTTCTTTAGACAACAAAAGGAAATTAAAGTTAATTTACTCTGTGACTAAGATACGACTTACTCTTAGATAGTACTAAAGAGTTTGTTGTATTGTTTTATGACTTGATGATTACCATTAAAATGATCACAAAACAAGTGATGAATAAGGCCCTTACTGATTGATAATGATGATGTGTTATATTAAACAATGAAGTACAGAGTTGAAAAATGCATCAACTTTGCTTCTTAGGGTTATGCAGGGAGACTAACAATAATGCTAACACTTTTAGATTTTTGTGTAAGAATGAATCATTAGTGAAAACAGGTGATTGACAGTATGTTGTAATGTTGAATTCAGGCTTTAGAAAACAAAATCTTAATATTGTTAGGAAAGAACCAAGGTAACTCATGAGCAAACTATATCCAGTAGATTAAATTTAAACTTGATCCTTAATGTTGGGAAATTTGGAAAAATATGTAAATTGCAGAATTGTCTATTATAAGTATTTGGTAATATTTACGTTAAACCCATGAAAAATATGAGAAATAAAATAAAACCTAACAAAGCTGAAGCTCCATTTTCCCCCTCTTTACAGCGTGATTCCCTCATTCCTCTGACCCCACCGCAATACCTCTCCAAAACCAAAACCAAACTCACTGCCGTCCTAGGCAAATTGCTATCATGATGTTTCTTTAACCTTAATACAAGTATGTATCCATTAACAATATGTAGCATACATGGTATCATTTATAGCTATGGTATCATACTGTACATACCATTATGCAATTTGATTTTTTTTCACTGATCATGTTTCTAAGATTCCTCTATATTGGGAATTATTGAACTAGTTCATTCCTTTTAACTACTAAATAGTATTTTATTGTATATGTGTATACATATTTTATCTTTTTTCATACTGAAGTACACATAGACTATCTCTTTACATTGATTTTCTAATGAGAAGCTCACCCAAAGAAAGTAATGTGTTTCTTAGGGAAAGAGTGAAAAAATAAATTCTTTGGTAATCTAACATAAGAATTTAATTTTATAATTTTACAGACTGTATTTATAGTGTGTATTTATTCATGTTATTTATATGAATGATATAATTTGTTAATATCACAATACCAAAAATAAGAAATAGTAATCATCCTTTCTCTTCCCTTCCTTTTTCTAATTGTTAGGTACCTCAAGTTGAAATGTATTTCTTTGTGGAGCTTTATGAAGTAACTTCTGGAGCTGCAATAAATAACAGTGCTAGATTTGCTCAGATTAAAATATTAAAGGGTGTCGAACCTCAAAGCCTCGTATATTTTTCTGTTGGTTCTCGGCTGGCAGTGGCTCATAAGAAGTCTACTTTAATCACTTTGCAGGTGGGCAGAGATTCTGGGCCAGCGCTACTGATATCTGTTAACTACAGTACCCAGGTAAGCATGGAAAATATATTAATATGGGTGAAAGTTTTCTCATTTAACAGTAGCAGGTGTCATGAAATAGAATAAATGATACACTGTTTCTGACAATACTATTGTAGTTCACATTGCGTTAATTTGTATTGAGTTTATCCTTTAAACAGCTCAATTCTTTATTGATAACACTTAGATCATATGTTAAACTATAGGCTGTTCCATTTTTCTTTTCTTTGACAGTTAATAATACAATATAATTTATCTTACATAAGTCTGTTATGGAAAATTTCTAGAGAATTCAAATTACTTTATAATATAATTGTGTAAGACTAGAAACAAAAAGTTTCTCCTTATGGTTTATATATTTACTTCTTCACAATTTCCAAAACTCCCTGATAGGTATACCAAAAAAACAAAATGAAACTTACTGTCGTGGAGTCAGATCCAGCTCATACATGCTATCATTTATATCCGTCCTTGGGTTTCAGAGGTGGTATCATTATGGAAGTAGATTGCCCCATCTTCCTTCTGAGGAGCAGTTGGTAGATTTGAACTGCCAGCCATCTGGTTAGCAATCAAATGCCTTAGGCGCTAAGCCACCAGAGCTCCTGCTGATAGGTATAGTTCTTCAGAACTATGGATTCATTATTTCTCACTGCCCATTGTTTCATAATCTATCCTATTAGGCAACATTTTGTTTTGGTACCTAACTTTGACCTATTAAAGCACAAAAATTGTATCTGCTCAACTTGAAGCATGGTTGTAGGGATGGAAGCTTGCCTGCCTTAGTGCTCTCTCTTTTTTTCCTTGAATCATACAACTCCATGGAACTCAACATTTGAAAACCTCCATCTGGTAAATGCTGTCATTTCTCCTTTTGTTAGTTTGCTAGGGCTGCCATCACAAAGTACCACAAATGGGGTGGCTTAAAATGATAGAAATGCATTATATCATTGTTCTGGAGGCTGGAAGTCCAAAATCATGTTTGCTGAGTTGATTCCTTCTGAAGTCTTTGAGGGAGAATACCTCTTTCCTAATTTCTAGGCATGGCCAGTGATCCTTGGTGTTCCTTGGCTTGTAGCTGGAACATAACTTCATCTTTTTTCTTCATCTTTGCATGACCATTTTCCCTCTGTCTTCTACTCTTTTATAAAGAGACCAATCCTATTGGATTAAGACCTATCCTACTCCAGTCTGATCACTTGTTAAATAATATCTTCAAAGACCTTGTTACTAAACAAAGTCACATTCCTAAGTAATGGGGGTTAGGATTTCAGGATTTCAAGAACTTTTGGAGAGATATAATCTAGTCCCTAACACATGGTTTCAAGATTCCAACCCTCGTGACTCTCATGCCTCAGTATTACAAAGTTTTGTTATAAAGTGCTGTTTATTAAGTGCCTGGTTACATGACTAATATGGGGTGGCTCAAACAAGTAGAACATTCTATGTATAAAATGTAACATACATATGACAAATAAACTCACTGCTGTCGAGTTGGATCTGACCCATAGCAATCCCTCCTTGAGTTTCTGAGGTGGTATCACTACAGAAGTAGATTGCCCAATCTTCCCTCCGAGGAGTGGCTGGTGGGTTTGAACCACCAGCCTTCTGGTTAGCAGTCAAATGCCTTAGGCCCTATGCCACCAGAGCTCCTAATATAACAAATCCCACAGAGCAACTAGTGTGTTCAAACCATCAATATTTTGACTAGCAACTGAGTGCTTAACCACTGTACCACCAGAGCTTGTGCTTGTGTTATATAACACTCTAGAAATTAACTTCATTCTAAAAGGCCATGAAATGGTATGGATACAGAGAAATATTTTGATTCATAGCAGGGAGATTTTAGTGTTTTTCTTTTGAACGTTTAAAATAGGAAATGAGCAAGAAAAAAAAAAGTGCTTCATTCTTCCTTTTCTTCCATGAAATATATATCATCATGTATTCAGTATTTTGAAGAGTGAAAGAAGGGCAACTAGAGAAGAAAAGATAGTAAAGAGATTTGAGCCACATTGGTTTATACACTGGTTCATATTCTCAGATGAAAGAGAATTGAGGTTTTCAAAAAAAAGAAAAAAACTGAATGTCAATATCTCTCTATTATTCATTTAAATTATTCTATTCACAAGTTCCTTGCAAAACACATACTGTCGCTAGCATGTAACTCATTAAAGGGCACTTATTTATAATCAGTATGTTGTTGTTGTTATGTGCCATCAAGTCAGACCTGACTCATAGCCACCCCTCCTTGGGTTTCCAAGGCAGTATTACTATGGAAGGAGATTGCCCAACCTTCCTTCTGAGCAGTGGCTGGTGGGTTTGAACCACCAGCCTTCTAGTTAGCAGTCATGTGCCTTAGGTATTATGCTACCAGAGCTCCTATGATACTGATTTTCATAAATATCCAGTTTGACATTTCAATCTGCAGTTATAAACTTAGCAAAGAGTATTCCTGCCAGTGGCTTAAATAGCAAATAACACTTTAACTTTTTTTTTTTTTTCCCCACATAGATTTATTCCTTTCTTAACAACTGAGCAGTTCCTTAAAAGATGTTTTTAATATTTTATCCAACATTTTATCCATTTCAATCAGAGCATGTTCAGGCTATTTAGTGTACCCAGATATTACACTGATTGTTTCTTAAACTCCAACAAAGTTTTTGTTCTGCCATCGCACTGAAAATGCTCTGAAAAGCCAAACTCTTCATTGCTCTTCAGTTTTTGACACAATTAATTACTTCCTCCTTCATGAATTATTCAAATATTTTCTGGGCTTCTGGAATATACTTTTTTCTTACTTTTTTTGCCAACTTCTTCCTGTCACCTTTGTTGGCTCTTCGTAACCAGTAAGTATTCATCCATCAAGATTCAGTCCCTAGGCAAGATCATGCAGACCTAGTCCTTAAATATAATCTATCAACTGATGACTCCCAAATTTTTATCCCTAGCCTTACCTCTTCCCTGAACCAGCCCCATATTTTACTACTTCTACATGACGTCTTTACTTGAACGTCTCAAAGGCATCTCAGATTAAACATGTATGATATGATAAATAACTCTTGATTTCTGCCCTTAATGGTATTTACCCTAGGTTTATGCCATTCATCTAATTATCAGGTAAATTGCTAATCATCAAGATCAATCTTTTCTTCTTCTACACCCAACATTGAACTGTTCAGAAAAACATGGAATTCTTCAGATGTTACATTCGAAACATAGCAACAATTTCTTTGCACTCATTCACTATTCCTACCTAACATTACTTCTTGTGTACAGTAGTGCAAAAAGCCACCTGTCTTCTCTCCTTTCTTCCACACTCACCTCTTGCTACAACCTAACTATAAACAAATAGCCAGAACACTAAAGAAAATATAAAACAAAATGTGCCAATCTCCTTCTCAAATGTTGCAGTATCTTCCTGTCACACTTAGAATAATGACCTACACGGTCTGTCTCCCTAATATTTTCCTCAGATCCTTACATGGTCTATTCCCTTACTTCACTGAGGTTTCTGCTCAAATATCACCTCAAGACCTTCCATGACTCACCTTCTCTAAAACATGCCCTTCCTATCACTCTGTATCCCGTTACCCAGTTATATTTCTTCTTAGGACTCACCTTCATGTAAGATTATATTATTAATTTCATAACCTTTACTTTGTCTATTTCCTCCACTAGAATAGGTATTCTGGTGTTACCAGCTGCATCCCTAAATGCGACCTATTTGTTGACTCAGTAGTAAATAAAAACACATTCCTTTGATTCTACCCTATGTCCTCATGATTCGGTTTCCAAAATAATTTTAATAACCATAATTTGAAGAATGAAGAGGTACATATGTCCAGGAAGAGCCCTGGTGGGTACAGTGGGTAAAACATTGGACTGCTAACCAGAAAGTTGGTGTTTCGAACCCAACGGCTGTTTTGCTTGAGAAAGATGAGGCCATCTCTTTCAATAAAGATTACAGCCTTGTAAACCCTATGGAAAATTTTGTTTCCTATAGGGTCTCTATGAGTCAGAAACAACTCAAAGGTAGTGGATTTTTGTTAATATGTTCAGAACCTTATTCCTTAGACTATTTTCATGCAGCAGCAGCAGTGCACTGCTGTGGAGTGAGAGCCGACTCATAGCGACCCCTCCTTGGGTTTCCGAGGTGGTATCACTACGGAAGTAGATTACCTAACTTTCCTTCTGAGGAGTGGCTGGTGGGTTTGAAGCACCAGCCTTCTGGTTAGCAGTCAAATGCCTTAGGCACTATGCTACCAGAAATATTTCCATATCTAAGTGTAAATAACAAGAGGCCAGTTTCTTTGGCTTTCTCCTCTTTTCTCTCTGCCTTCTCCCTACTCCCTCTTTACTCTCCCCCCCAAAACATTTCTAGGCGTGAATAAAAATGTAAATATCTTTTTCTTGATATTTGTATTTTGCAGAATGTGTTACTTAAAATTGTGCCCTCTCAATTTTGAGTGTATTCACACTTGGAGAAATTCTGTAAGAGGAAATAGTGATACTTGTTTTCTAATTCCCTTTCTCTGTCTGTTTTCTGACCTGGAATCCCTGTTTCTCTCAGAGGCTTCTGTCTTTCCTAACCTTATCACTGTATGATCCATATTTTTCTCTCTACCTTAGAAGATTAGAAAAACTAAAACCTCCATAGTTTAGCAGTAGTGTTGGTATTGTGCATCATTTTGCATTAAGTTGTTGTTGTTGTTATGTGCCATCGAGTCGGACCTGACTCATTGCGACCCCTCCTTGGATTTCTGAGGCAGTATCACTATGGAAGTAGATTGCCCCATTTTCCTTCTGAGAAGTGGCTGGTGGGTTTGAACCACCAACCTTCTGGTTAGCAGTCAAGTGCCTTAGGCACTACGCTACCAGAGCTCCTATTTTGCATAAGAGAAATCAAATTTGTTTACATAATAAGAAAATGTTTAGAACAAGGTCATAGGTGTTATAATGTCATTTATATGGTGGTGTTTAATTTCTAGGAGTTGAGGAGTGCTGAAACAATTGGCCGTACACTCATATCTCCAGCTATTTCTGGGAAGGATTTTGTGAGAACTGAAGGCACGTTGGTGTTTGAACCTGGCCAGAGAAACACTGTAGTGGACATCATCCTAACCCCAGAGACAGCATCTTTAAATCCATTTCCTAAACGCTTCCAGATTGTGCTTTTTGACCCAAAAGGTGGGGCCAGAATCGATAAACTATATGGGACTGCCAACATCACTCTTGTCTCTGACTCAGATTCTCAGGCCATCTGGGGTCTTGCAGACCAACTGCACCAGCCTTTGGATAGTGATATTCTCAACAGAGTGCTCCACAACATTAATATGAAAGTGGCTACGGAGAACACAGATGAACAGCTCAGCGCCATCATGCATTTAATGGACAGGGTAAGAAGTCTTTAGAAACAGTTGGTGTCAGTTATTGCTAAATTATAATGAAATTATGATACAGTTAAGTTTCTGAACACAAGAATGAAATTCATAAGATCTGAGAGTCTACTTGGTTTTAGATGTGATTGATGTCTGTTTGGAGAACTCAGTCTTAAGCTGGTGTTGCTGTGCTCAGTACAGCAGTGACAGCCCAGTCTGAAAAGAGGCAGGAGATGCCAGAAACTGCAGGTTCCTTCTGATTCTTTAGGAAGTGGCTGATTACCTTTGGGGACTGTGTCTTAGTTTTTGGATCCCATAAAAAGAGGAGTTGAACTAGGTTATCTGTATGGTTCATCCAGTTAAAGTGTCGAGGCAAAGAAGCTGTTGCTCTCTTTTGTTCATTGCTTCTCTCTGTTGTTCATTACTACTTCTGGGCAGGAAACACTTTCACAGAAGTGGAGGACAAAGGGCTATCTAGATGATTTCAGGTGTTCAAGTTGGCATGGAGATGGACCAACTCGCCCTCACATTTAATATCTTTATTAATTTCCACCTGTGCAAGTGATGGAATAAAATGGGAATATAATATTCTAAGAACTACAAGTGAAAACAGATATCTAAAAAGAAAAATTGCTAAAGGAAAGACTCCTATAGAGGTTTATGATCAGCTTTTTTATCAAGATATGACTTATCAGCATATTTATATTCAAGTATAAAAAGCTTTATGTATGCAGAAACTTATAAATACTGTATTTTTAATATGTTATTCTGTGTAATCACATTGATTCCAACTCACCAACCCTATAGGTTTGTCTTCTTGAGCTATCCTTTGAAATTTGTTCGGCACTTTCAGTTCATAATTTTTTCCTTTCACTTTAGCTATTCTGCATTCAAGGACAAGTTTGAGAGTCTCTTCTGACATCCATTTTGGTCTTTTCTTTCTTTCCTGTCTTTTTAGTAATGTTTTGCTATCTTCATATATAATATCCTTTATGTCATCGCACAGGTTGTCTGGTCTTCAGTCATTAGTGTTCAGCATGTCAAATCTTTTCTTTCTTTCTTTTTTTTTTTTTTTTTGATGCATAACATGTTTATTTATTGGGGCCTACCATTGATAGCATACAGGACATCTTCCAGATGCAAATGGTGCAGGGAGCCACTGCAAGGGGAGAACTCACTGTCATAGAGTGGATTCTGACTCATAGTGACCCCCATTGGGTTTCCAAGGCTGTAAATCTTTACACTAGCTTGCCTCTCTTCCTTCCAGGGAGTGGCTGGTGGGTTTGAACTACTGATCTTCTGGTTAGCAGCCAAATGCCTTAGCTACTATGCCGCTAGAAGGGGAAGAGGGAGGAAAAGAGGGGGAAGAGGAGAAAGTTGGTGAACTTAAGCATCTGCAGGTGATGTTCTTCTGCAGCAAGGTGGGAAGTCTCTGGGTCTAAGAGTTATGAAGAACATGATCTTTGTAACTACATGTTTTATCTTAATGTGGGCTAGCAGATGTTGAGTGGTTTCCCAAGGTATGTAAACCAGACAGGCTTTGTTGTTGTTAGGTGCCCTGGAGTTGGTTCTGACTCTAATGACCTTATGTACAACAGAATGAAATGCTGCCTGGTCCTGGGCCATCCTAACAATTACTGCTATACTGGAGCCCATCATTGCAGTTGCTGTATCAATCCATCTTTTTGAGGTCTTCCCCTTTTTTGCTGATCCTCTACTTTACCAAGCATGATATCCTTCTGCAGTGACTAGCTCCTTCTGATAACATAATCAAAATATGAGAAATGAAGTCTGGCCATTCTGGCTTCCAAGGAGCATTCTGGATGTACTTCTTTCAAGACATATTTTTTCTTTGTTCTGGTAGTCCATGGAATATTCAATATTCTTCACCAACACCATGTCCAGATACATCAATTCTTTTTTGGTCTTCCTTATTCATTATCCAGCTTTCACATATATATGAGGCGATTGAAAATACCAGGGCTTCTGTCAGGCAGAATTAGTTAGTATTCAAAGTAACATCTTTGCTCTTTAACACTTTTAAGAGGTCTTTTGCAGCAGATTTGCCCAGTGCAATAAGTAGTTTGCTTTCCTTTTTTTTTTCAATTGTGATTTGGGTGAAGATTTACAGAG